CGAAGAAAATTAATCAGGAGGAATAATTTCTGAACTTCTGTGATTGAATCGTCAGTTTCAGGTACTTTACCTTCTTTCTGTGTGTCATGTAGTTAAAAAATTAGTTAATCAAAATTTTTAAATTTTGCACAATCGATCGAAATACTTTTTTGTACTGTTTTTAATTTTTTACGAACTACACTGGATATTGAGATCAAATTTCTTTGTAATGGTAGAGGAAAGCATCATCTTTAAAACGTAAACCCATAGAACGCATATTAATTGGCGTGAAAAACTAAAATCATTGTTTAAATTAGTCAATAGTATAAATTACCAATGAGTATGAAATGTTTTGCTCCTTATGACATTCTGCGCCATCTTTCGGTTTGAATATTTGAAATTAGAAAGAGAAAGGATATAACCTCGAATTTCGCAATGTACTGCTTGATTAATAAGCTGCGGCATATCTACATACTATATTATTACGAAGTTTTTTATTACGCTCTTTGATAAGTTCCTTCATTGTCATGTTTATCACTTTACCGATAACATTTAATCTTGCTCTACGTTCAGACAAGTGTCTCTGGGTCAAGTAGATAATATTAGATAGTTAATAGTGGTGATAGTATTCTACATTATGTCGTCTGCAAAACCTCAAGATACAAAATACAATTATGATATTGGAGGTATAACTTTGCCTTTATTTTTATGGCCTTATAAAAAAAATCTTTTTTTTTATCATAATTCTAATTTCATAAACATTAAGCACATTCATAATCGATTTAATTAATTTTTTCGATAATTGTGATTATTCCAGATAGATGCTTCAGCTCTGACTTAAATATTTTTAAGAGAATTTAGTTATACGAATCAATTTTTTATACAAAGAATTACTCGCATTCTTATCATTATGCTTATTATCGACACATCATCTTAATGTACGTATTGGAATAGCAATTTTCATGTTGATAACATTTACATAAATTTATAAAAACTCATGTATGTATCTACTCTACAGATAAAACTAACATAAAGAAATTTGCGATTCCATATTATCTAACATATACATATACATATATGTCCTTCTTTTCTTGCTTGAACAGAGAAAATCAATCAGTTCTAAATATTTTTTTTAGGTATGCGAATTAAATACAAAAACAAAAATGAAACTTTCACAGAAGATCGCCTTATAAGCAAAGAGCCTATCGATCAATTTAAAGCATGGTTTGATGAAGCTTGTAACACTCCTCAAATTTTTGAACCAAACGCTATGTTTCTTGCCACGGCTACTAAGTAATATCAAATAAATCACTTGAAATTACTCCTAAAATGCACTTAAAAAAAAAAAAACATTTTTGCAGAGATGGAATTCCGTCTGTACGACCAGTATTACTTAAAGGTTATGGCAGGGATGGTTTTAAATTTTATACAAATTACGAAAGTAGAAAAGGCCACGAGTTAGTAAGTGCATTAGATTCATAATTTGTATTAGCATGTATAAACGTATTTAATATTTTTAATATTAATCATTTAATTTAATCAATTTTCAGGCTCAAAATCCAAATGTAGCGGCATATCTTTACTGGGAACCTTTGAAACGAGGCGTAAGAATCGATATATTAATACATATTCTGAAAGAAAAAGAAGAAAATTTTCTTTAATTAACATTATATATCATTTTTATTAGGTGCGTATAGAAGGTAAAGCGGAAAAAACTTCTGCAGAAGATTCAGATTGTTATTTCCAAAGCCGACCATATTCAAGTCAAATAGGATCATCAGCTAGCAAGCAGAGTATCGTAATTGCAAGTAGGGAGACACTTATTGTTAAAGAAAGAGAATTATTAGCTCAGTTTCCAGAGGGACAAGTTAAAAGGCCAGACCACTGGTAATTTCATAAATCATCAAAGTAAATTATTAAAAATATAACATGGTAATAATGTAGCCTAACTTTTAGGGGAGGATATAATATTATTCCATATTCCATAGAATTTTGGCAAGGTCAAAGTGATCGTTTGCATGATAGAATTCGTTTTAGACGAGCTAAGTCAAACGAAAACATCGACAATGTACTAGTCCATCAAGGTGATAATGGATGGGTTTATGAAAGATTATCTCCATAAACAATATAAAAAGAAGCTATTTATTACATAGTATTGAATACATACAAAGAAATACAAGTACAAAAATGCTTTTAGGATAGGAAATTTTACACAGGTTTAGGGTTGCTGTTTCCTTGTAATTTTTAAAATTTCTCTCTGTAATCCTGGAAATATATATATATTATATACACAATTGTTGTCTGTTTAAAAGAATTGGAAAATATTTACTTACCCTCTCTATTTTTCCACACTGTCTCAACATCAAAAATACCATCTTCTTCTATTAGATTCTGAAATTGTTTTATTCCTCCACCGACACCAAAGTAATAGCTTTTACTAGCAATAAGCCTGGGAACATGTGAGAAAATACTATATTTTGTTATAAAAATTGAAACCAAGTTTACATTTTGATGAATGTACTTGCCCAACGCCATCTTCTTTGAGTCTTTGCTTGAAAATTTCGTATAACTTTTTATGATTATCAGGATTATAAATAGTTTCACTGGTGAAGATAAAATCGTATCTTACGAATTCATCTCCACACGAATCACACAATTTTGTAAATGATCCCCAATCACCGCAAAAAAATTGACATCTTTTTAATACGCTTTCTCGATCATCGAAATTTAATAAAACATTTGGAATCGTTACAGTTTTAATTACTTCTATATTCTGCAAATATAATTAACCGTAACTAATTTTATAAGATGCCTTCTCATTCTAATAAATACAAACATAATCTTGAAAATGGACGATGGAATTTTTAAGAAGAGCAACGAGACCAATAACACCGGTACCACATCCTAAATCCAACACAAATTTGCCTTGGAATTCGACGTTGTTTTCGAACAAATATTGGCCTAAATCGTAACTACACTCCCAGATTTTTAAACCACCTTAGTATGAAGATTCAAATGATTTAGCAATTTTCAAATTAAGGAATTTTCGTAAAAAGTAAACGATTTTTTCGAAAGTTAGGTGTGATCTACCTTCATACTTGGCGGGAATGAGATCAGAATGTTGCGATTCCGCTTCTATAATATTTGCACAATTGTCCATTTGTAAATCGTGCAAAGCCCTCTCAGATCGAATTAATTTTAGTTTACAACCCGGAAATATTAGATTTTCTGCGTAATCGACGGGTTCATACTGTTTCTCAACTTGTATTTCCAATACCTCCACCTTTGAGGCAGATATCCAATTAATCGTCGAGTTTTTCATATCTTTACTTTCTTCTAAAATAACAACTCTATTCAAATCCTTATTTTTTAAATTACTAACATGACAAACATTTCAATCGAATTCAAAAATTATGCGGAGATAATACATAACGCAAATATAACCTCAAAAATAATTCTAGTTATTGAGAATTTAAATTAATAATAACGAAAAGAAAAATGTATAACGAAAATATAATAACGAAAAAATACCTTCATCCTTCTTATCCCTCGAAAACCCAAATTTAAACATCTTGTATTAAATAATTTTCTTTTTACGCTTACTTGCAAAAAGTTAAAAAATAAAGTAACTAAAGACAGAAACCAAATTACAATATTACACGTCAGATCTAGACTGAAGAAACAGTTTAGCGAATTGCATGATAAACTTTGTAAGTTCGGTCATAGACAAGATATATGAATAGACATTGCATTCAATATATTTTTTCAGCCAAATAAGGTCGAGGTAATAACGTCCCAGGACCTTACCATTTTCGTGTCATACCCTGTTGTATCGACTGCAGCACTACTAGTAGTGAAAATTAAAATTAAAAAAATATAAACAGTGTTGCCAATTCTTTGGTGTTTCGAGAATTATTTATTGAATTGAATGATATTTCAATGAAGGAATCAATGAAGGAATATAAACAGCGACTAATGGAAACTGGGATGAAAAATTTAGTACATATTTGACTATTAACACCTAATTAAAAGTATTAGAAAAAATTGATTGAAATATGATATTCTTATGAACAACATAATTAACTATGACGTTTTTTAATTTACAAATGTGTAAATTAACAATCTTAATAAAAATTATCAATTGTTCCGGATCACAGACGACCGAAATATTAGATTAACCTTGAGAGGTATCAGATTCATTATCAATTTTCGCCGCGTTTTAGAAGTTTGAAAAAAAAGTTATCAACATTAGATTAACCTCGAGTGGCTTAGAGATCATTATCAATTAAACTTTCGACGTATACACAAAGATAAAATTTTAGAAGTTTGAAAAAAAGTTGTCAACTGTATCTGATCACTGACGAACGAAATACTACATAACCTTGACAGTAGTACGGACACTCATTACCAAGTGAACTTCCGTCGTGTGCACATCGGCCCAGCGGAGCACCCAGGACATCGCGGGATGCGTGAGCCTTAGTTTTAAGTTGCGTGCGTCTTAACTTTAAGTTGCGTGCGTTTAGTTTAAGTTAATCTCTGTAAATTCATTGTGAACGCATTCTGTACAAAGACACGTTTACTGAACTCGGGACGAAATTAGGAATCTCTCATCTTCTCTCTTCTTTCGTTCGTTTTTGCTATTGTTAGTTTGTTCGTTGCACTAGAGTCGGGTCTCCAAATTTTGTAGCCAGTGGCCGAATCGGGGAACTGCAGCCTCGTCCGAAAGGTCGAGGTGAGATACTTGTAGCCTAGCGTCCTTGGTAATTCGACTCAGCGGTTCCGCGGAACCTCCACTGTGTCATTGGGGGTAGCGTTAGACTACTCGTCTCTAAATGCTCGAACCTCGATTCGGC